GCGGCGGTGACGCCCGTGTCCCGCAGGCCCGAGGCGGCGGAGGCGGCGGCCCTGCGGCGGCTGTGCCGGCGGGCGCGGGCGGGCAAGGAGCCGGCGGCCGCGCGCCGCTGCCGCGAGGAGGGCAACGGGCGCTTCGGGAGCCGCCGGTACCGCGAGGCCGCGCGCCTCTACTCGCAGGTAGGCGGGAAGCGCGGCCTCCATCGCCCCGCGTGAGGGGACGGGCTGGGGCCCGGTTTGGGGGTCCCTGGTGATGGGGGGGCTTGGGCGCTGATGGAGCGGGGAGCCTTTCCCTGTGAGGGGGGCCCTGGGGCAGGGCTTGGTGTGGGGGGTGCTGGTTATGGGCCCCGCGAGGCCTCCAGCGAGGGGGGATTCCCTATGAGGAAGGTCCTGGTTTGAGCCTCAGTGTGGAGGGGGCGGTGAGGGAGGCTTCGGGTCACCCCTGGTGCAGGGACCCTGGAGGGGGGTCCCCCCGCAGCCCCGCGACTCTGCTCCGCACAGGCAGCGTCCCTGGAGCGCCCCGGCGGCCCCGACCTCTCCCTCTGCTTCGCCAACCGCTCCGCCGCCCTCTTCCACCTCGGGCACTTCCAGGTGAGCGGCACCTTCTCTGGGTGCCAAGGCCCCGGCCTCGGGGTGCTGGGCAGCAGGTCTGGGCTCCCTGCATGCGGCTGGGGCCTCCTGCCCTGCTCAGGAAGGAGGGAGGCCAAAGGAGAGCCCAGGCAGCACCTAGAGAAGTAGCACCTATAGCATCACCATATTATGTTTGTGAGTTGAACTTGAGGTGAGTGCTTCTAGGATGCGTTCTTGTAGTTGTGCTTAAAGCTTCTCTCGTTACAGAGCTATTCCTGAAAAATTCTAACCCTCTTTCTCCTCTCTGAATCCTTATTTGACTAATAGATTGGCTGTAGAGAAGGATTTGCAGATAAACATCATCTTACATAAAGAGCGTTGAATCTTAGACGTGATAAAAAAGCACAAGTTCTGACTTGTTTTCAAGTACGTTTAAAATGCCTTATCTTTGTTTCTAGGCTTGTTTGGAAGATATTTCAAGGGCACAAGGTCATGGCTATCCAGATAAGCTGCTGCCCAAGGTCTTGCTGCGGAAAGCGGAATGTCTGCTGTGTTTGGGAAGGTTACAGGATGCAGCAGAGGCACTCAGTGCAGTGGAGAAAAAAATCACTGAGTGTCAGACTGTGACTAGCACCGCACACCAGGCACTGCTAAAAAAGATAAGTCAGCTGAAGAAAAAAGTACGTGAGAAAGAGAGCTGTCCAGAGCCTGCATCAGAAGCACATGATGCCATTCAAAGAGAATCGGAGATCTGGGAAGAGAATGACAGTATTTCAGGTGCATCTTCATCTCTGAGCCTGAGGTTTGATTTAGAGAGAGGACGTCATCTGGTGGCCTCTCAGGACATTTTAACAGGACAGGATCTATTGAAAGAGGAGGCCTTTGTGAGTGTTCTCTGCCCAGGGGAGAGTCTTCTGTTGCCTGACGGTAATGAAGCCACATGGGACATTCAGGTCACTAATGCAGATCTTTATTGTCACCGCTGTCTGAAGCAGCTCTTGGCCTCTGTGCCCTGCAGTGGGTGTAGTTATGCAAAGTACTGCAGCCAAAAGTGTGCAGATCAGGCGTGGAAACAATACCACAGGACAGAGTGCTCCTTGGGAGCACTGCTGCTCACCGTAGGGGTCTTCTGCCACGTTGCCCTAAGGACTGTTCTGCTGGCAGGATTTGCAGAGGTTAGCAGGCTGGTGGAGCAGTCCCATGATGATGACAAGGACCTTCATAACCCTGAGGCAAGATGTAAGCATCTCAACAAGGCACCCAATCCTAGAGCTGGTGTTCCTGGGAAAGCAGAGCCTCTGATTCCTGGCTGTAATGACAGTGGTCGGTACCAGAGTTCTTACCAAGCTGTGTTTAACCTTCTGCCACATACTGAGAAGCACAGCCCAGAACATAAGTTCCTTTGCCTGCTAAGCGTTGTAGCGATATGCAAAAAGATACAAGAAACTGGTCTAGAGGCTGCTGTTTTGAATCGGGAGGAATGTGAAGAATGGGTCAAACCACAAGCATGTGGAAACGGGTCTGATGAACTGTCTCCACGGATGAAGATTATGGCAGAAGCAATGCTGAGGCATGTGTTGCAGCTGCAGTGTAACGCTCAAGCCATCACTGTAATGCAAGAGTTGGGTAAGTTAAAGAAAACTCCCATTGCAGGTTGGAACAACCCCTTATTTTTCTTTAAGTTTGGTATTCTGTTTGCACTGTTCCTGTCTTTGGGGCACATTTAGATGATATTCGGCTATTTTTCATTATAGCAATATGCCAGAAACTTTTCTGCTGATGTCTGTGATCGAGTACAGTGTTCCTTCAATTAAGTTTGTTGGGTCACTGAGCCTTCCTTCCCAATATAATTTTTTTTTCTCCTCTGTCCTTAGGATCTGAAGATGGTGCTGTTGTAAATAAGAAGCCTGTGCGCCTGGCGACAGCTTTCTTTCCTGTCCTGAGCCTTCTGAACCATTCATGCAGTCCCAATATCAGTGTGTCATTTAATGGGACATCTGTCACCATCAGGGCATCACGGCCAATCCCAAGGGGCCAAGAGATTTTTCATTGCTATGGTGAGTTTTAACTCTGTACCTGTATCAAGATACAGCCATCCTTTCACTTCTCATGCAGACTATTGCTAATAGAATAGTAATTTTAACTGTGAAGTTGCTAGAGCCTGTGCATACATATAAGTCTTGATCAAAGATATCAGAACCAAACTTCATCTCTAGAGCCCACTGTTTTGCTTTCACAGTCTCCAGTATAATCTGTTCAAAAGATGGTATATTTAGTTTCAGTCATAACAAGGATAGATTTTAGTGTGTTGCTAGGAACTGTACCTATTTAGCACTTCCTTATCTTCCCTTTCTAGGGCCTGATCGATGTAGAATGAGGGTTGCTGAGAGACAACAGCTTCTTAGGCAATATTTCTTTGAGTGTCGCTGTCAGGCATGCCTCGAAGAGCTAGGATCTGATGGCAAGAGTCTGCTGTCCATAAGAAACTCATTCTGCTGCCCTAGCTGCCAGGCTTCAATGCAGGTAATTATAACGGTATAACATCAGGGAGTGTAACATCTGGGTCTCTGGGAAGGTCACAGTTAAAAATCGGAGTCTGTGACCTCTGCTCTGAAGACAAAAGCTCCTGCAGAATCAAGGTGGTGGTTCATTGCTCTCTAGCAGCTTCCCTGGGACGTCCTTATATATCAGTCTTTCAGTGCTATAGGGAAAACACTGCTTTTAGCAAGGAACTAAAATTCCTTTGAACTTGCTGAAAGAAACCCTGAGTCTCAGGGCCATGGATTGGGGGAGCGAGAGTGTTCAGGGAACAAAAACAGACCCAGAGTCTAGAACATGATGTGCCTATGGAGGTGCTGCACGTCATGGGATGTAAATGAAAACAGTATGTAGCATGAGCTAAATGGGGAAACTTATTTTTTGTGTGTATCTCATGACTTTTTTTTTCAGCCTGATCTTAAGTGAGTTTGGGCTGGCCCATATTATAGCTGTTCCTGGAAGTTTCTTTTAAATCTGAGCAATCAAATAGCAGATTACAAACAAGTCTATTTAACAAATACAGCTAAGGAACTAAATAGCAATTCCATAATACAATACAGATACTAAAAAGAAACTTTGAGCTGATCTTGAACTAAAATGACCTCCACAGGGGGAAGACCTACTGTGTTGTTCAAATGGAGCTTGTGCACTCTTGGTCAGCAGAGAGAGCCTGTCACAACGCCTGTGGGACCTTCAGCAACAAATCAAGAAAGCATTAAAGCTGCTAAGTGACAACAAGAGTGGTAAGGCTCAGTTTTCTGCTTTAAGGTCAGCAGCTAATGAGGACACATTGGGAAATCTGGTCCCACCGTGAGATGGCACTGTTGTCTGTGAGACTGGGGTCTTCTGGTTTGAAGTCTGCAGTCCCTTGGGAGCCGAGCTTTGGGTTCTTATACTGCTGATCTGGATGTTAATCTCTGTCACACACTCTTCCATAGTCACTAAAAGAACTCAAGGTTGGACTAACACCCAGACCTTATTTTCTGGTGTGTGTCTGGTTGATATTGTGCGAGAATAAGTGGAACTGCAGAGGAAATAGATAGTAAATTTTAACCGAGTCCAAATCTAATTATGTAAGGTGCAGTGATGAAAATGGATCGTGGCAAGCTGGAGAACGGCCAGTAAGATAGATTTTATACCTTGCTTTGTAGATCAGGCCATCAAAATGCTCCTGAAGTGTCAGTCAGATGCTGGGAACTTCCTGTCTCCAGAGCATTTGCTGATGGGAGAGGTGGAGGATCATCTGGCACAGGTCTATGCCACTCTTGGTATGGTATTACCTTCTTACTTAAGATTGTAGTTTTCTGGCCTCTGAGTTTAACCTGAAGGTTGAGAGACAATGATTCCTTGGCTAACTTAACTTTTTCATTTCTTCTACTGCATTTCTGCAGTCTTGACAGCAGGACTCTCAGACTGTTTTAGCCAAACTTCTTTCCCAGCAGGCAAAGAACAACAGTGTGATCTCGTGTCCTCTTGATTTCTGTGTCCTTGCCTGAGGACAGCAGCCTTCCAATAATGCTATAGACATACTTCACCATGTTTTGAATGGTGCTGTCAAATTCTTTAGGTGACAGTAGTTCTATAAAACATTTATTGCTCTTTTATTGCATTTTGGTTTTGTTGTTCCATCAGGAAAGTGGAAAGAAGCAGCCAGGCACCTGCAGAGCAGTATTCGGATAGTGGAAATTCATCATGGGCCATCAAGTGTAGAAATGGGTCACGAACTCTTCAAGCTGGCACAAATTCTCTTCAATGGGTAAATTTGCCTTCATTCTCCATTGCTTCTCTGCGCCACTCCTGTTTGTGTGACACAGTGTCATGGCAGATTGTCCTTGACGTGTGTGTCCCAAGCTTCCTGGGCAGTCTGGCACAAGTACAAAAGCTGTTCCTTTCTCAAGTACAAGTTCAATACGTGGGCCAATGAGGTTCACTTCTATCTTATGATCTCTCTCTCTTTGGACCTGGGTTTCTGTCTGTGCCTGTCCATTTTATTGTCTGTCTCCGTCTTTTACTGTCTGTCCTATTGTTTTGTTCTGATAACAAGTCAACTTTTGGCATCTATACCTCTTTCTACGATATTGTTGACATCATTTTAAAAAAGGAATTGAAACATATTGCTCTTCTTTGGCCCCTTTCTGGGCAAGAGAATCTTCCAGCAATCTTTTAATAACATGTATTTTAACAGTCCAAATTTACTGCAGAGGCAGTAGTGGTAGTAGTATTCACTACTGCAGAGGCAGTAGTGAATATTTATACTCAAAGAATATCTTAAGTTTTATCCACTGGCTTACCCTTTTTTCCCATCATCTCTTTGAAGCTAAAGTGGTATTTGCCTGGTGCTGAAAGGCAGTGGAGGGTGGGATCTATAACCATGAACAGGTCTAGTGTTTTTCTGGGGAAGTCAAAGGAGACAAGTTCAATATCTCAGATATTCTGTTCTTACTCTTTTCCTCTTTCAGATTTGCAGTTTCTGAAGCTCTGAGCACAATTCAAAGAGCAGAGGAAATTTTGTCAGTGCACTGTGGTCCTCAGAGTACTCAAATACAAGAACTAAAAGAGATGAAGACTTGCCTGCTAGAGCTTCCCAAGAGCATCCTTCAGAGGACTTAAAATTCCCTATCAAAGAAAGCTGCGATGCTCGTCTTTCATCAGAGCTAAGCTTCATGTGGTAAGGCAGTCATGTAGTACAAGCTGGAAAATCGTGCTTAAAAACAACTTGAGTGAACTCTGGAGTGATCTTTAGTGAGGCTGTTGTAAATAAAATTCAAAATCTAGCTCAAATATGAGGAGTCATGAGGAGTCTGTGTGTAGTAGAGTAATGGATGCTGTTATGTAGAATTTCTGTGTGTAAACCAGAAGGAAATATTTGAGATATCTGTGGGTGCGTGGGTGCGTTCAGAGGTGTGAATCTTCCGTGTGTGGTAGCCTGCTGGTGTTGAACAAGGAGTTTTCCAGGGTGCACTGCCCTTTATTTCTAACACTGTGAAGCGTTTGGCTACCAGTCAGCACTTGCATTCTTGCCAGCACAAAGCTTGGACTGGACAAGGGAGCAGGCTGGGAAATATAAACTTAAAAGCTGTATGAAGGAGATATTTCAGAAGCTGAAAGGCTACCGGAGCCGACCTGTGAGCGAGGAGGAATTTAATATGAACAGAATTGGCTTTGGCTTGGAAGGCAGGAGAGGGGAAAATGCAGCATACACCAGGCTGAGGTTTGCATAAACAGCTATGGCTCAGTCTGTGGAAAATGGTTGTATAAAGGCACATGACATAGGGCAATGTTTCAAGGGAGAGTACTGGGACTCACTGAAATTAACGGCAAAAGCTCTTTTATTGCAGCATGAAGGCATAAGATTTGCAAGTTGTGTCTTTGTGCAGCAGAGCAGGGAGCCAGTATCCCTCCAATACCACCCTTTCTGTTTGGGCCCCACCATTGCAGACTACTGAGAAGGGGTCTAAATGCTCCTAGGGTCCAGAATCTTGCCAATAAAGAGTAGGGTTCCAGTGGTATCATCTCGCAGCACGAGAATAAAAGGTCTGTCCACGTGATACTCTATGGGGAAGGTCAGACGCGCAGCATTCGCCCCAGGGTTTGGTGTTGATCTCAGCCCATCTTCGCTAAGCTCCAGAATTGCCTTGTGTTGCACGTGAGACAGTTTAATCGGCTTGGCAGCAATCTTGGTAAAGTCAGGTGTTGTGAAAAGTGACTGGAGCCCTGGAGGGAAGAAAGAGAATTCTATTAGCTAAAAACGTAGACGTGGGTTGAGGGAGTGGTACTGCCAGTGCTGTGATCCAGGAGGACGCTGTGATCCAAGAGGACACTGTGCTGCTCAAAGCTCATTGCTCGTAACAGTGAGAAGCAGCTTGTATCTGTTTGTGCTGAGCTTCTCTCTCTTAATCGCAGAAAGACTGTGTAAACTCTGAGGAAAGATCTGATAAAAACATTAAGGGGACTTATATGAAGGCAGTTTAGTTGCTAGCAAAGTCTCTACATACTGACAGCAGAACCTGGCTAACCAATAACCCACCAACTTCGTGTTTTTCTGAGATCAGGAAGCAACTTGCCTACTGCTCTGAGCCCTGGCAGTCTGTAGAGGGAGTTGAGGTACGTACTTGTTTCCTTTAGAGTGTTGCCAAGTGCCTCTTCGTAGTTCATCCTTAGTTTGGGCAAGCTTAGCACGGCGTGGACTGTCTTCAGCTCCTTGTCTACATCATGGACAAACTCAGAAGTGAGGCTCTCCTCAATCAGAGTCATATTCTGAGTCACCTTCGTGGGCAGGAAGAACATGGCACTGACTCCCCCTGTCAGAGGCAGCTGGGCAATCTGCAAGGCCAGTCAGAAATAAGAAAGGATCATACCCATAATAAACAGTTCTTACCCTCCCAGCACAGGACTGAATCTTGAGTGCCTGCTCAGCCATTCCAGCTGTATATCTTGTCTTCTCCTCTGTTTTTATTGCACATCATGTTTCCTGACCCGGCCTTGCCAGACTTTTATCAAGCAGTGCTGCACTCTCTCTGCTATTACATGGCAGGAGCTCTGCTTCACCTGTTGAATCCTGTAGCGAGCTGCAGCATTGCTTTGGGGGGGTTCTCACCTTCTTCTGACCTCATGCTACAGTGAAAGATTTGTTGAAAGAGGTAGAAATCGAAGCATTTTGGCCAGTGTGCCCTACCCTTTTGCCCAGCTTTAGTTAGAGCAGTGCAAGTGCGTAGGACTCTGCTTGTCAAATGGTCACTGAAAGAGCAGAATGTTTTAGGAAGAATCAGACACTGCCTTTCAAAGTCAGGGATCATAAAGCTAGTGTGTCTGGAAGAGCAGGGCTGTTTTCTGGAATGGGTTAACAGGTTAAGTGTAGCTAAGCCTGCTCCCCAGTAGGTTAGGAGATGTTAGGCAGTATTTGCTCTCTGACCTTGCAGTTGAGTTCTGAGTCAAAACCGTATCGCAGGATGGCTTTGGGGTCTGACATCATGGACACCTTCACGGTTCTGTCCTCATCCAGATGGAAGTCCTGCAGAGCAGTCTTCTTGGTGTCAAACTTGGTTCCCCATGTCCCTATTATAAAAACAAACAGAGGATCCCCTGGAATAATAGCATGCGAAACCAGGGATGTGTCTGTGGTTGAGTAATCTTGTGCTTTATGTATGTAATATTTGTGCTTTAAGAGCTGAGGCATAACTGAATGATGATAGAGATGGAAATGAGCTGATTGGACCTATTGATCTACTGCCACTCTTAGGCCTCTCTTTTCCATCTGAGAATTGGCTAAGTGGGAAATAAAAATATCAAGCCAGCGTATGGGTGGAGTAGCATTTGGGAAGCTGCTGTCTATTTATGTAATTACAAAACTATTTTAAAGGGTAATGATTGTGTCAATGCACACGAAGTGCTTCTCTCCCCACCCTTTGTGTTTTGCTTGCTGTCTCTAAGTGATAACTCTCCAGGACACCCACTTGTGTCGATACTGGATTACAGCATGTTCTAGAACTGCTCTCTAGCATAGCATATTCCCTAGGATATTCCCTCTATTCTAGTATATTCCCTCTGCAGCGGTACTAAAGCTCAGTGCAGTCTGCACAGCTGTACCTTCCTTCAAAGTAGTATCCTCTGTCTTGCCATTGAGCTTTCCAAGCTTGGACTTTTACTGCAAACAGCTCGACCTGCCTTTCTAACAGTAATAATTCCTTCTTTGAGAACTATTTCATGTTCGTGAACATGAAATAAACTACATTTCCTGTAGTTTATTGAGCAAATATTTCATACGTGCATTCCAAGACTTTTGTAGATACTTTGGCTCTTTGGCACGGTTTTGTTGGCAGTTTGAGACCCTGCCTGTAACGAAGTGCACAAGGTTCTTACCTTTGAAGTAAGCGGCGCCAGCAAGGAGAATACTGACATCTGAGGGCATTTCTTTCATAAACCGCATAATCCTTCCCTTCGTCTGCTGCCGAACCCAGTTGTTGATCTCTTGGAGATCTAGCTGGGAATTGCCGCTGAGTGTCCTCAGCCGCATTTTGTAGGACTTCTCCAGCTGGCTGTGGAAACCAGGCTTCATCCGCAGTTCTGGGGAATAAAAATACCAGCATTGCAGCCAGCTCGCCTATCAAAATGAGCTGAAGGCCGTGGCTCGTAATCACAGGCCTTGCAGCACTTCTCTCATAAACCAGATCTATGGCTGTGTGTATAGACACTTGCTTTGAAGAAGGATGACTGAAAATGCATGGAGGCAATGGATCCTAATCCTGATGATGTTGGAATATGGGGAGACCCTGTCCTGAAAAGTGAAGGTGGGAGATAGGAGCAGAGGACTGGGACACAGCCCTTTCTATAGTGGTCTTTCTTCTTCCTGTGGCGCTCTGTGTGAGTGCAGCTCACTCAACCAGCTTGAAACCAGCAAATTAACTGGGCAAAATACAGCTCTTGGCTTTGTCGGATGCACAGTGCGTGCTGAAAACAGTCATTCTGAATACTCCTGCAAGAATGTAAACAAGGGAACAGAGCTGAACACTACCACAATTAGAAAATGCAGTTTGTGATTCCTGGGAATTAGCAATACCTGCCAGGAAAGCCTAGAGCACAAATAAAATCCTCACAGCAAGCTTTCTTGAGGCCTTCTGCAAAGCTAGTTTCTGTCCTCCAGTGTCTTTTGGCACATAAGCCTGGTCTTTTCCTTTATTTACATGCACACAAACTTTCCAGGCTTTATCTGGAGCAGCAACTGCATTCCATGTGCTGCCTGCTTCCAGGCTCAGCAGGATGTCAGCCCCCGAGCTGTTACTGCGCTTGCTTTTGACTGCATTCTACCTGCTGCTAGTTATTTCAGTCGATTTTGCTAGAGCAAAGGAAGGACATTTACTTTTTTCCAGGATGATACGGGAAGCACTTCTCAGGCCCTTCTCTGGTGCAGTGACGCTGGTCAGCAGGTCCTTATAGGTGTTATGGACTTCAGCTTTGTTGAGCAGGTCGTAGAAGAGAGCCCGGGAAATCACGTCCTCCGTTCGCTCTCCGGCGCCTGCCAACGACCCGGAGAAGGTGAGCGGAGGCCTTGGAGCCCCAGCAGGAGAGGGGCAGGGACTCACCAAGGGAGAGCGCGGAGAGCGCGGTCGCCAGGCTGAACGGAGACAGCAGCACGTTGGCGCTGGCCGTCCTGCTCGACTGCTGCCGGTACAGGTCATAGCCGAAGTTGGAGACTGCCGCTGCCAGCTTGTTCACGGGGCTCTTGTAGAAGGGATCTTCCTCTTCCACCTCGCCCGCATTGCCTCCATCGGCAGGGGCAGAGCCCTGGCGGGTAGGGAAGCGCTTGGTTTAGACTTTCTGCTTACAGAGGCAGGCACAGATGGGCTGAGCATCTCAATCTACAGAGGTTCTCATATGATTTTAGTGCTAGGGGACAGTAGGAATAGCGGCTTCACTTTAAAAATGGTCCAGTAAAGTTGAGGGCAGTGTTTGGATTGGAATCCGCTGTTTCTGCTTCACTGTCATCCCCTCATAAAAACCCATTACTGTGGGTTTTGTCTAGGTGAAGCAGCAGTTACTCCTATTCTGTTGCTAAATAAAACCCTGCTAACTTAGGAGGGTAGTTCTTAATGTTTTCATAAGACATAAAATCAATTTTTGCTGCTTTGGAGCAGCAAAACCTTCTCCAAGGATCTTTCCTGGCTCTCTGCTGTTACATCCTACTCACCTGCCCAGCAACTGAGTTCTGGGATCTACTTGGGACAATTAGGAGACCCAGGAAGAGGAGAAGCGCTGGAATCTGCATGCCTGAACCTGG